AAACAGCGTCTCTCGTGCCATATAAATCTCTCCCTGAAGTCTTGATCCTTTATATATACATTTCGATCTCATTTGTGAGATTACGTTCGGTATAGATTCCCGATCCTACCGCTTAGCGTGACAGCGTGTTCTGCCCTACTTTTGAATCACTGGTAGTATGAGGGAGGAGTCGCTCTGGCGAGGGCGGACCTTGAGCGGTATGCCTTTCGACTTGTTGTATTTTCTGTTACTCCAATCGCCATCTTGTTGCCAGTGAAGTAATGTGTTTCTGATGAATTTCGGGAGCGCCCTGGATGTCTTATGACTGTCTTTGGAAGCCAGTGGATTATACTGTGATTTAACCCACCACATATATCTGTTTCGGGGGCTTGCATACATTTTTAACGGGAACGTATTGTATCGATGTTCAAAATGAGTATCGATACTCTATTGGAAGCGGCCAGGTATTTGGAGTGGCAAGCCCAGCAACAACAGATTGCACGTGGTAAGGCGGGGCGGGGGGGAACTGGGTGATTGCACAGATCTACAGGATAAATTAGATATGTATGAACTAATTTGGGATTTTACCCAGCAAATTGTATTTTCATACCGGCACACGTCAAGATAAATAACAGCTATATTTTCTTTCAAAAGAAAAAAAAACTGCAAATCAGCTTTTTATTATAAGCATTGCGAACAAGTGCTCAGTGGTAATGTCCAGTGGTTTGCACTGTTTGTAGGGTGCAGTCTTCGTGACTAGGGCATATTTCGCTCACTCGGTTTCCGGGTTAAATCCATGCTATATTTAGTGTGCTACTATACTCGCTCAGTAGCGCAGCGGTGGGTGGGCACATTTACCCCGACAGATCCTAGTATACGGCGCGTCGTATTTTTGTCAGACACATTAAGTTACACGTTTTTGCATTTATATTGGCTGGGTAGAATTCTTAAAATGATAAAAACCATTTTTACCCACCTTTTAATTAATTAAGCAGGTTAGCTAAAGTAGAGAACGTCGTGTTTCCTATCCGTTGGGCGGTGGCAGTGGCATGAAGATATGAAATGGACAGGGGACCATGTGTGGTTGTGGCTGTACTCACGCTGAGCAGGTGCGGTTGCGGCGGGGGGGGGGGGGGGCGGGGCTTTTTGTTTCATTCTCGAGGTGACGTGTCAGTAAAGCCACACCCACAGCGAATACCGCGTGCTGAAAGTCCGCCCTCTTCAAACACGTGCGCGCCAGACACCAGCTCCCCACTCCCTCTCCGTCTCTCCCAGGTCACAACTGGGGAGAAAATAGGGCAACGCCACCCTCCCTCAATGCAGAAGTTATATAATGTGCATTTTTCCATGCATGTCCAAGTAAAAGCTTGACATACTGATTTACTCTTTTGGAGACTGTTTAATTGTTTGGCATACAGTTAAAAAGGCTGTAGAACAATAAGTGCAGTTGGCATATTTTTGAACATCTCTGCAAGGTCTTTCTCTTTAAAGGCTTTATTCAAATATGCAAACTTTGCATACACTTACACAATCTTTGACCTTGTACTAGATCAATAAAATTACATGTAAGCTCAAATGTGCTGTATTTAAAAACGCTGAGGCTTTATGTTAAAGGGGATGAGAATGATACCCTACATTTATAAAAAAAAAAAAAAAAGCTATTTATTGCATAACAACAAAGAGAATTTCCTTTCAGTTTTTATACCATCAAACCTGGTTACGCTTTCACTTACTGTCTGGGCTCTGTGGACTTTGTATTTGAACTAGTGTTTGAAATATATTAATATTGAGTTTTCTCTTTAAAGGCTTTATTCAAATATGCAAACTTTGCATACACTTACACAATCTTTGACCTTGTACTAGATCAATAAAATTACATGTAAGCTCAAATGTGCTGTATTTAAAAACGCTGAGGCTTTATGTTAAAGGGGATGAGAATGATACCCTACATTTATAAAAAAAAAAAGCTATTTATTGCATAACAACAAAGAGAATTTCCTTTCAGTTTTTATACCATCAAACCTGGTTACGCTTTCACTTACTGTCTGAGCTCTGTGGACTTTGTATTTGAACTAGTGTTTGAAATATATTAATATTGAGCGTTAATGAAGACGTTAAAGGTTCTTAACTAGTTGTCCAGACCCACACAATCATAAATGGGTTAGTTTGTTGTTAAATGCAATGTCATGTTTGCATTTAATTTGATTGTTCAAAATGATCAATGATTTGTATGCAAGTACAGGTCATTGCAATTGATACAAAGCCTCTTTGCGCTGTTCTGGTCTAGTTTGTTTCAGAATATTTGGTCGTGATTTCCACATTAGCCTTTGAAAATGGAATGTAATTTTGGAAGGTTCCTTTAGAAGTTTCCTTTGTCCCTTTTACACAGTGCCATGTTCATAATGCACACTCTTAAAGCCTACGGACCACCATAGTATATCCCATCTGTGTCCTGAGTGAAGTCTTAAGAGCTTTACATGCTTATTTACAGAGAGCAATTGATGGCGCTCTCATGAGCTGTTCAGAACGTATTAGCCTGGCTGTGTTATGTTTGCACGATGACACATTAGTGTTTGTGATTCCATTCCTAACATGCTATTCATTTCTTTGTACGCATGTAAATGTCAAGAGAAACGGCATTTCGGTTTGTATTTATCTTCTGTTATGTAATGGAGAAATATGCAAGGACTGAACATATTGATCTCCGCATTCTTTCGTTTTGAAGGCTTCTGAGAACGTGTTTCACAATCAATATCATTCTTCCTGCTGATGCAGGAAGATTCCCGCATGTTGTGGTTTGAACTGTGCAGGAACGCTTTGCATCAGGTCACCCCCTTTGTCTGCGGCGTGCTCGCATTCGCAAGATGCAGCTTCTCCTGCACAGGAATGACAGTTTTGGCTCAAAGACACTTTGGACAGCAGCCAAAATTCCTCCCCCACCCCCTTGTATTAAAATTCAAACATTGATCTGAAGTCACAACTCGGGTGGAACTGAATATGGATTGACGGGCTAAACAATAGGTCTGTCCATCAATCATGGAAATCGTTGAATGGTGGGGGCATTTTAGCCTATAGATGGTACGGTCTCCGATTCCCCATGCCAGCTCTTGGCTTTTCATGCAGACTTCTGTGTGACGTCAGTGTAGAGCTGGAGACTAGGCAAGACTCTTACTGGGACTTCTCTCTTAAAGAGACAGACCATCCAGGACAGCTAGCTCACACCCCACCCTAATTTGGACATGGAGTCATGATTTACTGCTCCCTACACTGGCTTTTCTTTTTTAAATTGAAATCTATAGCTACACCGCAGGTTTTGAGCCCTGTTATATGAATTTCACACACTGTCTTGATGTATTAAATTACTCTGTTAGTCTTTCGGTTTGTATTTATCTTCTGTTATGTAATGGAGAAATATGCAAGGACTGAACATATTGATCTCCGCATTCTTTCGTTTTGAAGGCTTCTGAGAACGTGTTTCACAATCAATATCATTCTTCCTGCTGATGCAGGAAGATTCCCGCATGTTGTGGTTTGAACTGTGCTGGAACGCTTTGCATCAGGTCACCCCCTTTGTCTGCGGCGTGCTCGCATTCGCAAGATGCAGCTTCTCCTGCACAGGAATGACAGTTTTGGCTCAAAGACACTTTGGACAGCAGCCAAAATTCCTCCCCCACCCCGTTGTATTAAAATTCAAACATTGATCTGAAGTCACAACTCGGGTGGAACTGAATATGGATTGACGGGCTAAACAATAGGTCTGTCCATCAATCATGGAAATCGTTGAATGGTGGGGGCATTTTAGCCTATAGATGGTACAGACTCCGATTCCCCATGCCAGCTCTTGGCTTTTCATGCAGACTTCTGTGTGACGTCAGTGTAGAGCTGGAGACTAGGCAAGACTCTTACTGGGACTTCTCTCTTAAAGAGACAGACCATCCAGGACAGCTAGCTCACACCCCACCCTAATTTTGACATGGAGTCATGATTTACTGCTCCCTACACTGGCTTTTCTTTTTTAAATTGAAATCTATAGCTACACCGCAGGTTTTGAGCCCTGTTATATGAATTTCACACACTGTCTTGATGTATTAAATTACTCTGTTAGTATGCAGCTTCTCATTAATAATTTACACTTCACAGCCATGAGCGCTTCTTAGTCAGAGCCTAGACAAGCACTAATTAGTTCCATTACTGATCTATAAATTGGTATTAATCTGTAGTATTGCTGCTGATATTCATTAGTTATAGCTATAGTTTAGTTAGCTCTTCTTTCACAAATGTATTTTTTTACACAGAGCTATGCCATATATCTGGATAATAAATGGTAAATCACCATTTGAAATTTGTGCAGGTTATTAATGAATCAGGCAACCACATCAGAGAAACAGGAATGTGAATTTCATAAAATATATTTCAGTCTGAAGAAAATTAATGACTGCAAGACGAGACCCGGAGAATTTTTTTTTGTTTATATTATGACAGTATTGCAGAAAAGCAGTCTGTTACATTCTTAAGGACAAAAGTAATTGTTTTTTTTTTTCAATGGCCCACACCAGGGTTTGACACGATACATTTGATCACATCAAATTAGATTTTCTTTCATTTCAGCAATTTTGTGTAGAAGTATTTCATACAATATATTTACTCAAATCACTAAAAATGTGAAATAGTTTTTGATATATTAGCATGGGTGTCGTATATTTTTGAACTGACACAAAGGCTTTTTGGTAATTGGAAAAAGCTGAAATTGGCTAATAATTACTAATAAGCCTGGTGAATAAAGTTAATAAAGTTTGCTTTGGCAAGCTATTTCGAACTTCTGACAACTCTAAACTAATTTAGTTTTTTGCTTGATTTTGTTCAAAATGACGTCACACCAGTTTGTTCTTTGATTTTGCTTTAAGTATATCGGGGCCTTAACTGTTTCCATGCAAGCTGTGAATTTAGGCAAGAAATCAGAATCTCCAGTGAGAGTCAAGAAAAAAGAAACAGCGTTTCCATTAAAGCTGCAAATTTAATTTATGCAAGAAATCAGAATACCACAAAAACTATGTGCGGATCCCTGGGTCGACGAAGTGCGGCTCGAGCCACACCGCCACCACCAGCACCACCCTCCGGTCCCGCCCCCTCCCCTCCCACCACCTGTTCCCATAGCTGTCATTCCTTTCCCGGTGGTCTCAGCCAACCCTCCGGCCCCTCCCATTCAGACTGCTTCGACCCTTCACACAGCCTCCTCAATGCCAGTGGTCACACCCTTGGCCACAGCCCTGTCCCCACCAGCAGCCCCCCTCCTCAGCCCTAATGGCAAGGATGCCCATTCCCCTCCACAGCAGCAGCAGCAGCAGCAGCAGCAGCAGCAACATCATCACTTGATCGCACACATAAAAGCAGAAGCTACCAGCTTGCCTCCATCGAATAACAGTCCCAAGCAGCAGCCGCAGCCACAGCTACAACAGACGCAGGCGCTGCTGCAACCGTATCCAGCCCCCATCATCACAGCCCAGCATCCACCACAGCAACACGCCCTCCTGCCCCAGCCAGCACTACCCCAACCTCAGCCCGCACCAGCCCAGGGTCAGGCAGACCAACCGCCCAGGCCTAACGGAGTTGTTGTGGAAGAGCCGCGCAACCTAGATGGCAAAAGGAGACCTGGAGGGTGAGCTGTGTTTTTTGGCTATATACAAGAAAGTGGAGGAGATTAAACTGTAGGACGCACACTTGAAACTGGGTGGGCTATTTTGTTATGAGATTGCAATTTTTAAAAAGTAGGCTGCTGTCCTGTACGGTGACCCATGATGAGAAAGAACGCTGCCCCTCAGGTCATGCTGTGTGTGTTTGTAGGTTGCAAACTAAATGAGTGATTTCTCATATACTCATCCTCATGTCGTTCTAAACCAGTGTTTCCCAACCACTGTGCCACGGCACACTAGTGACAGGTTGTCAGGTGTGCTGTGTAAAATGATCAGAACTTTCTATCTCTATTGTGTTATTTTAAATCAGTGCTATTGGTCATCTTTACATCTGTTTTGCAAATAATTAACCAATGAAAAGCATTCAGAAGAGCTTGTGACTAAACCTCATAAGGCCATTGGATCATCAAGCTGTCTCCCAAACCTCATAGCTCCATCCCGCCTCCAGTCAGAATTAAGTGCTCATACGCTGATGCAAGGTTAAATAAAGAACTGATGTTTAAATAAGTACAGGATTTTCTTTACTCAAAAAACACTGTCTATGAAGGCTAATGCTTTTTGTGTGTTTGAAGAGTGGAGATGAGTCTTAGCATTTGCCATCTAGGTGTAGCTAATGTAACTGTTTTAGCCTATATATCCTGTGCATAGCGCTTCATCTTTTAATATCATGAGATTTTGGCCAAATGTATTCAACAACAAAAAACTGAGCACCCATATAGCTACAATAAACTTTATAACCTGTAAGTTGAAGATGCGGCCATTCTAATGACGGACAAAGCACAGATCAACACCATTCGCTGGTCAAAAACCTCGTAACTCCATTTGAGCTTGATTTTCATAAAATGTTAATATTATAAGCGAACATGCAAGTGTCTGATCATATATAAAGCCACAATACGATGCAGTGTTTAATTATTTTAAAAAATATATATATTTTTAAAAATATATATTTTTTTACATTTCCTGAAAGTGGTAGTGGTTTTGGACATACAAGGTTTCCGCCCGACAGTGATGATATGTAAATTTGTTGTTTTATCATCACCAACAACATAAAGCTACCTGTGACCTTGTGTTCCTTCCTGACTTAAGCTCAAGTTTCACCTTAAATGTGAGTACTACTTTTAATAAATTATCCAGTGTTAATATGCCATTTGAAGCAATGCATGTTTGTGCAATTTTGCTGTATTTCAGTGCTTAGTGGTGTGCAGTGGGATTCTTTACTTATCAAAACTGTGCCGTGGCTAAAAAAAAAAAAAAGTTGGGAAAAACTGTTCTAAACACACATGATTTTGTTTTATGTGGAACACAAAAGGAGATATTTTGAGAATGTTCATGCTGCTCTTTTCCATACAACGCAAGGATGTTAAAAAAGCAAAAAAGCACCATAAAAGTAGTTTCTTTGACTCCTTCCTATCATGTGAGAATATTCGCTGAGAACTGTTGCAGCATTAAATATAATTTACATATTTTAAAATATGAATAATCAAGACACGTTGAGACATGTATATCTTCTTGTCACCGATCGGGGCTCGTTTAGTTTAAAGTTTAAAGTCCGATTGAGTTTTGAAAGCTGTCATTGAGAATGAACTGTATGATTCACCGAAACAAAACTGAAATCACAATATGACTTGGTGCGATTTAATGAAATACATATATGTGCTGCATGTTTCAGAATGAAGTGTGGCGCTGTGTTCTTTTACTTGCGAGCAGCTCATGATCCAGTGTTTTTAGTGTCTCAGAGAGGCTTGGTTCAAAAAGTTTGCTTCGCTTATAACCTGCTTTTGAGAACGCACCATGGACCAACCATTTTTCCAAAACTGTAATGAGAAGTGCTTATAAACTGGCTGTTGTCAACAAAAGAGATGCATTAAGGGCTCTCTGTGGTTTTCCGCCAAAATAAAAGCTTGATGAATTAACATTTGAAAAGGAAGAAATAAAGACATAAATGTAAACTCTATTTTTATATTATTAATTTTTTTATATTTTTAGTTATTCAAATTTTTGAATGAATTGTGCAGCCCTAGCACAGCAAACCTAGAGTTTTTTTGTGCAGTGTTTATTGTGTAATTTTATATATTTGTTTTTTTCAGAGCTTGAACAACTCCTGCTCAGTGTTTGGTGTCATTATTTGTGTAAGAGCTGCATGAAAAAATTTTCCTTTTGTGTTGCCTACAAGAAAAAAAAATTGAAATAACATGAGATTGAGCAGTGGCCATATTTTTTTTTGCAGTGAACTACTTATTTGCAACATACTTACTTGCAAGAGACCATGATATAAAATGTAATGGGTTGATTTGTGAAAGTTTACATATGACCTAGAAACATTTTCAATATTTTTCCCGCAGGGCTGGAACTCGAGAAGTTCACAACAAGCTGGAAAAGAACAGGTGGGTTAACTTCTGTTTGCATTTTTGTGTTTATTTATTTTGACAAACAGAAGCTGAGCATTTACAGTATCTGACTGAAGTGAGTACACCCCTCACATTTTTGTAAATATTTTATTATACCTTTTCATGTGACAACACTGAAGAAATGACACTTTGCTACAATGTAAAGTAGTGAGTGTACAGCTTGTATAACAGTGTAAATTTGCTGTCCCCTCAAAATAACCCAACACACAGCCATTAATGTCTAAACCGCTGGCCACAAAAGTGAGTACACCCCTAAGTGAAAATGTCCAAATTGGGCCCAATTAGCCATTTTCTCTCCCCGGTGTCATGTGACTCATTAGTGTTACAAGGTCTCAGGTGTGAATGGGGAGCAGGTGTGTTAAATTTAGTGAAGATAAACTTATTTGGTTCAGATGGTGTCAAGTGTGTGTGGCGGTAACCAGGTGAGAAGTACAAAGACAAGTGTCATGGTCTGGGGCTGCATGAGTGCTACAGTTCATTGAGGGAACCATGAATGCCAACATGTACTGTGACATACTGAAGCAGAGCATGATCCCCTCCCTTCGGAGACTGGGCCGCAGGGCAGTATTCCAACATGATAACGACCCCAAACACACCTCCAAGACGACCACTGCCTTGCTAAAGAAGCTGAGGGTAAAGGTGATGGATTGGCCAAGCATGGGCATCCTCAAACGGAAGGTGGAGGAGCGCAAGGTCTCGAACATCCACCAGCTCCGTGATGTCGTCATGGAGGAGTGGAAGAGGACTCCAGTGGCAACCTGTGAAGCTCTGGTGAACCCCATGCCCAAGAGGGTTAAGGCAGTGCTGGAAAATAATGGTGGCCACACAAAATATTGACACTTTGGGCCCAATTTGGATATTTTCACTTAGGAGTGTACTCACTTTTGTGGCCAGCGGTTTAGACATCAATGGCTGTGGGTTGAGTCATTTTGAGGGGACAGTAAATTTACACTGTTATACAAGCTGTACACTCACTACTTTACATTGTAGCAAAGTGTCATTTCTTCAGTGTTGTCACATGAAAAGATATAATAAAATATTTACAAAAATGTGAGGGGTGTACTCACTTCTGTCAGATACTGTAAATTCATTGAGTAGCCTTAATGTAAGTTGTATGGTTGCTGGACTGATCACAGACACATTAACTGTTGTCACTTTGCAATTAGTGCACTATTTGTTTTTTCTGGCTAGAAGGCCTTTGCCCTACTAGTAACCACAGTAACAAATATGATATTACAAAGCAATTGCCTTTTGACTTCTTCATTGCTGTTACTTCCACCACCAAAATGCTTTGCCTAAACGTCTGTTGAAACTCTCACTTGCTTTGCACAAAACATAAGAAACGGAACGATCAGTGCTTTTCTTTCTGTCACAGACGAGCACATCTGAAAGAATGTTTTGAGACCCTCAAGAAGAACGTTCCTAATGTGGATGAAAAGAAAACTTCCAATCTGAGTGTCTTGAGGAGTGCTCTCCGCTACATCCAGGTAATGGGATTGGATATAAGTGCGATGAAACGAGTGTTTGATGACGTGCATCCAATAGAAGCTTCTAAAATAAATAATGTTGTAATGATATCATCAATATATTTTGCATATAAAAGAAGCCTATTTTTGGGACTATTCAAATTGGGTTTTTTTTTTCTTTTTAGATTTCTGAAGTTAAATGTTTGATGACCCAGACATGTTTTTATGAGATTCACCTAGAAACACACATCCATCCTTATTCCATTTGTAGTATAACTGGTGTGGACTGTTACGTCTGCTTGTAAAAGTTCATGTTTGAATGTGAGGATGGCGTTTTGATTGGGAATGCTTTTCCTCTGAACTATATTAGTTAGATGCCAACATGAATTCATAAAAAAGAACATCATTTATTCCTAAAGGATATTGTATGGTAATAATGAATAACAACGGAAAATGTGTTGGGAATAGGTCACAAGTTGGGGTTTTATAGTCCGTTTTCTCCTTCTCTATTCTCGTTCTCACCCTCCCACCCACATACACTTCTCCACACATACTTTACTAGCAGAATTGTGTCATATGCATCTGCCAAAATATCCTCGGTCGGATTCTTCTCTGTGTGCGCTCATTATATCTTTTCCTTACCCTCTTCCCCAGTTCTTTTCAAGAGGTGTACTTTATTTTTTCCACTTGGCTGTTTCTCTATCCATCTGGTTTTTCTTTGCCTGATGTTCAACAGCTAATGTTAAAAATGGCAATTTAAGCATATGAAAACCTTGATTCATTTTAATGACTCTATTTTAAATAACAGTTTGCGTGAATTAATTTAGAAAATGAAATGAACTCAACTTAATTTAGGATAATATGGTGGTCAATCACATGTGTAAGCTGTTAAAGCTCATATGAGTTTACCCGGATCAGAACATTAACACTGATGTAGATACAGCTGACATAAAAGCGCCAAGGTCACGGTCGATCATTTAATTTGCAGACGGTAGCTGCAACGATTAGTATAATAGTGTGGGTAGAAAGGTGACCTGTTTATGAAAGATATATCTTTGAGTTATGACACCAAAAGCTATAAAACTGAACCTGATGGTTATAAAGACACGATAAACACAAGCGAGGGAATGTGGGCCGCCTGCTCGCACGCTACTCTCTTCTGCATGCGCTGTTCTCGAGCTCTCTCCCCCACCCTCGCCCGCTTTCTTTCAGCCTGCTCCTGTGTCCACGTGAGGCATGAGCACATGGCGAGCGTGAGCCCGGTGACGTCAACTCCCCTCCCTCTCTCGCTCAGCGTGCGCACGCCAGACACACACACACACACACACACACACATGCCGACTGAAGCCGTTTAAAATCAAACAATGCATCTTGAAACGCTGTTGCAGTACATGATGCGTGCTGTTTGGCATGCTTGTGTAAAAGTAGGTTACGCTACATTGTTCGAGTCGGTAGCCTTGCATGGCTGTTGTTTTTTTCTTTTCTGGGCCAGTAGTCCTGTGAATCGTAACCAAGGAGACCACAGCAAACAGAGCCGGTGGTCAGTGAACGGCAGGGGGTCCCTCTGTCTGTAGATTGAGTTTCTTTATGGTTAGGTTCTAGATGCTAAACAGGCATGGCATTCTTCTTTTACGCTCACTGGTTGTGGAGTTGATGAGTGAACAGTGATGAATTTTCAAACAAGATATTACGAGTTGCATGATCAGTTCACAGCTGCAGTGATGTACCAGCTTCATCAGTGTTAGTTTATGGTGGTCTGATGTGGATTTTTTAGGAGCCAGTGCTAATGTTGATATTTTATTCCACATTATTTACTCTAGTGGTCAACCAATGCATTACTTTTTCTTTTGGTTGCTGGTATGATATAATGTTTCTATACATATAATCAAACTAAATAATGACTGAGACATACAATCAAATAAACACTTATCTTCTCAGTATTTACTGAAAAAAATTCACCCAAAACATTTATTATTCATCGACTTTTAAAATAAAATGTAACATTTTGCATATTTTTTAAAAGAGTACTTATGGAAATAATATACTTTATAAGAATACTGAAATGTTTTCGGACACTTAGTTTAAATTTATACTGAATGCAGTCACTTAACTAAAATTTCATCATTCTATTGTCTTTGAAATATGGTTAACGTTTACTGTCAGCATTTATGGAAAACTACAATAGCCTATACTTTAATGTCATTTCTGCTGAAACTTGAATGTCAAATCTACATATAGTTGTAATTACATATTTGTAATGATGTTGAAAATGAGTACATTAAAATGTATATTAACTTTAAATTTCATAATAAGTTTATAATTTAATATTATTTAACTACAGTTAAATTAGAAATCAAGTTTTTATGTGCTTTAGTATGTTAGTCGACATCTCAAAATACGTGTACTGCTTTAAAGCACAACAAAAGATTATTAAAACAATGATATAAAATGTACTTTTAAATTAAATTATTAATTTGACATGACTACAAAGTGCACTTTTTTTTAAAAGTGTAATTAAATGTTAAAAAACTAAATCTTGAAACTCCAAGTACACTTATGTGGCCATTTATGTCATTAAGATATTATATTATAGTATGTTTTTTTGAAGTACATTACAAGTACACGTTCAATACAATTGAGTGTACTTCTTTTGCACAAGAGAAGGCTGTCAGTAGATTGTTAATATGAGGAACTAATGCTCCTGTTAATTACTCAGTAAGTTCAAATTGACCAATTAATCATTTATTTACTCAAATTCAATCACTCGTATTCATGTAAAATATTTTAAAAACAAAAGATGTGCATTATCTATTGACAAGATAGTCAAAAGACTTTGCAACTGAGAGGCAGTAAACTGGGCAATAAAAAATGAAATATTGTATGTTTAATAGCTGATTATATTAATCAGTAACAAATGTTTTTGCAGCATTATTTCATTGTTTGGATGTTCGAATGCAGTGTTACTTGATCGCTCTCTTTTTCAAACTACATTTGATAAAGATGAGCATGAAAGAGCAGGGATGCTGGGAGCAGGTGAGGAGTGTTTTTAATCACAAAGGTAGAGGGGCACGAAGACATGATACGGGGGAGGGAGTGCGAGAACCATCGGACTGGAAAACACTAGAGGTCGATGTGAGCCAATCGCATTAGCCCTTGCCTCTCTGTTACACCTTCTCCTCATCACTACGTTGCTCTTTCCCTGCTCTGTTGCCAAGGAGACCATGGTGGGTTCCAGCTGTTACCGTGGTGATATCCAGTGGGACCTGATATCTAGTCTGTAGGGATGTCTAGTCGGTTACACACAAAAGATGGAGTGGGTTCAAAACTGTCCTGGGGTCAGTCAGCACAGGTTTTATACACGCATCAGGATTTGAGCTGATGGCTGGGGTTGATGTTTCAGTATTATAATGACTGCTTTATCACTAGCTGAAGTGTCACATTTCCAAGGACTATGATGACACCGTGTCGGGTAGTCTTGTTGTCGTTCTAATTTGTCATTTTTGTACTTGACTTATTTCGAGTGCATTTTGCTTCTAAAGTAGCATCTCTTTATTAAGTTCAATTGTTTGCTCACAAAAACACCTCCATGTTCATGTGAAACGTTTACAAGTTTTTAACAGTCATTTAACAATTAGACCAAGGTCCAAAATTCAGTTTTCAAGGCATTCTAATATATATATATATATATATATAACATTTTTTGCAAACCATTAAACTGTTTTGCAGTATATCAGTTCCTGGCCAACATTAGATATTTTTCATTTTTATTAATCTGTATCAGTAGATATTGGATATTTAAAGAAATATTTAATGAAATGAATAGCTTTTATTCAGCAAGGTTGCATTAAATTGATAAACAGTGACAGTAAAGCCATTTATAATGTTGCAAACGTTTTCTATTTAAAATAAATGTAGTAAATGCTGTTCTTTTCAGCTTTTCGATTCATAAAAACATCTGATTTTTTTTTTTTAAATGTTTTAAAATCTATTTTCATATATAAAATTAAAAAGGTTACACAACTGTAATATATAAAATAAAACAGTTACTAAAAGTTTTTTTTTTTTTTTTTTACAAATAAATGCAGCCTTGGTGAACATAAGGGAATTATTTCCAAAAACCTTTAAAAAAATCACACAAACCCAAACTTTTGTGTTGTGTGTGTGCATATATGACTTGTCAGCACATCAGTCAGGATTTTAATATCTGTGCATCCCTATATTTAGTGCATAGCAAGTGTTTGTGTAATTTTATTTCAATGTTAAAATAACTTTCTATTGCAGCCTAATATAATCAGTTGAAGGTTCATTTCTGAAGAGTAAACATTTTTTTTTAAATGTATGATGTTTCAATATTATACATTTTAATAGGGCTGGTTATGTACCATCCATGTAGAAAACAGGAGGTGTTGGCTTGTATGTATTGCTGTGTGTGTGTGTGTGTGTGTACAGGTATATATGGTTTATGAGGACACAAATGTGTATAATGACATGGGTACTACAACGTAAACATGGTTTATGAGGACACTTCCTGTGTCCCCGTAAAACAAAAGGCTTAAAAAACCTACAAAACTGTGTTTTATGAAATTCAAAAATTGCCAACAGTTTCCTGTGAGGGTAGGTTTAGGTGTAGGGCAATAGAAAATACAGTTTGTACAGTTTAAAAACCATTATGCCTATGATGAGTCCCCGTAAACCACAAATACAAGTATGTGTGTATGTGTGTGTGTGTTGACCTGCTGTGTGAAGGGGGTTTAGGGCCAGACAGTCCAATCTGACTAATCCTGAATCAGGCTTCACTAGGACAAACTCTCTCTCTGCCTGCGCTCTCAACCTACTGCACCAGTCACATTCATATTCCCTTAATACTGTATCAGTGGGTTATATAATCCCATACACGCACAAAAAACACCCTCCACCTCTGCACATAACTCTATCTTCGTGCACGCTCACTGCTTCTTCAGCACTCAGAAACGTGTTTTGTTCTACTGTATACTGCAATCCTCTGTGACTCTGCAGGACTCCTGCTAATTAGGAGCCAAAATGCCCGTGTTGTCACAGTTTCTTTGGCAGAGCATAGGTGAGGGAGGGACTGAGGAGGAAACTGACTGATGAGTGTGTCAGAGCCGTCACATGCTCGAGGCTTTGACAGATGGGGTTGGGTGTGTGAACTGCTTTGCTTTGTGGACAGTTTGTTTCATAAAATTGGATGAGCACATATGTTAAACATTCTGTCACAAAGCAGTTCCTCTCTCACATGACCAGCCTCTCTCTTACTCGCATTTCTTGAATGTGGACGGACATACCTGTTCCTCTTCAAGGGT